TCTCAAAGTTTTAATGGAAAGAAAAACTCATTACTTTATAAATTATGTGTGAGGCTGAGCTTTTAAAAATATTTAACCAGAATAATACTTTGTAACACATTGAATGCAGAAGCACATGTAAGAATTCATTTACAGTTTTACTACACTAAGAACAATCAAAAGTAATCTGATGTGGTATGCTAATATATGACAAAGTTGATTTCAGATTAAAATAAATTTACTGAGGGTAAAAAGGTTCATTTCATAACATTAAAGGTAAAACTTCAAAAAAGACATAAGAATTTTAACATTTGTGTCTATAACCACAGAGCTTCAAAAACATGAAGTAAAAACTCATAAAGCTACAATGAATAAAGGACAAAACCATAATTTTAGTAGAAGATTTTGATATATTTCTCTCAGTAACAGTTCAAGTGATAAAAAAGTTACTAAAGATCTCAAAATCTTAAAATATACTATCAGCCATCATGACCTAACTTACATGTATACACACTGCTTCCAACCACAGAGCATGCATTTGTTCCAAATGCATATGGAATATTTACCAAGATAGAGCATATTATTAGCCTTAAAGAAATAATCAGTAAAGTTTGATGGATTTGAGTAATAAAAGTATGTTTTCTGAGTACAAAAATCTTTGGAAATTTCTCAGATATTTAGCAAACTTTTAAACAACCATGAAACATAAAAGTAAATATAAGGGAAAATAGAATATATTTTAAACTGCATGATAATGAAAACATATCATATCAAAATTGTTAGAATGTAGTCAAAGTAGTTCTTAGAGGTAAATTTATACCACTAACATTTATATTAGAAAATACAGGTCTTAAGTCATGAGTCTACCTCTATTACACTTAATAACCTAGAAAAAGAAGAATGGAGTAATGAGACAGATCACACAATAAAAGAAAATACTGGCAATGGTAAGTTCAGATAAGGGATTAGTAACTGGAATATATAGAGAATACTAGCATCTTACTTGTAGAAAATTAATAATCCACTAAAAAAATAAATTAATAATGTAATTTTTAAATGACCTGAACAGACAGCTCTCTAAGAAAGACAGACAAATGGCCAAGAAGAACATAAAAAATTTTAATCTCTCATTATAAGAAAAACACAAATCAAGACCATAATGATGTATCACTTAAACCTAGTCAGAATGACTATGATTAGAAAAACAAAAACAAAAACAAACACAAACAAACAAAAACAAAAAGCAGATGCTGTCAAGGCTGTGGTGAAAGGAAACCCTCCCGCACTGTTGGTAAGAAAGTCCATTAGTGCAGCCATTGTGAAACAATATGGAAGTTGCTCAAAAACTGACAAATAGAACTACCACACTACCACAGGAATCGGTAATCCCTCTTCTGGGTATTTATCTGAAGGACAGGAAATTACTCAGTAGCATATCCATGTTTATCACAGCATTATTTACAGTAGATAAGATATGGAATCAACCTAAGTGTCCAACACCTGATGATTAGATTTAAAAATGTGGCATATATATGTAAAGGAATACTAAGTCATAAAGAACAATGACATTCTGCCATTTAGTACAAAGTGGTTAAATCTAGAAGATGTGTTGCTAAGTGAAATGAGTCTGACTACGAAAAACAAACAGTGTAGGCTGTGCTTGCTATATATGGAATGTCTGTATGCTATGACAAACTGAAAGATTTCATGACAGATATATAGACAACAACTATAGGTTCTAGAGAGTATTTGGAGGATTGGGCGAAAGGAGAGGATTAGAAAAAAAAAAAAAACAGCATGAAAAAAGAAAAAAAAAAAACTTCTAGTTAAAAAGTTAAGTCCGTAGTAAGCAGAGGAAAGAAAATAATAAAATATTGAGCAGAAATCAACAAAATGAAACATAAACAAAACAATAGAGAAAAATCAGTGAAATGTGTTTTTGATTTTTGAGATCAATAACACAAGCATCTTACTAGGCTGACGGATCAGATAAACTTAAAAAAAAATTACAAACATCAGAATCTTGAGCTGTGACTCTAGTTATTTAAAAGATGATAAGGGATGAATGATTTAATGCTCATAAATAGGACAACTTAGATGAAACCGAACAATGCCTTGAAAGATACTAACTATGAAAGCTCCCTCAAGTAGAAATGAATAACCTTCGAAGACTTATTAATAGAAAAGAAGTTCAAGTTGTAGTTGAATTATCTTTCTCTAAGAAAATTCCTATTTAAGATGGCTTCACTGGTGAATTCTCAAAAACATTCAGGAAAGCAATTTTACTAATTATACATATACTTCTCTAGGACATGCCAAAGGAAAGAACATGTTCCAATTAATTTTATGAGACTCATTATTGCTCTGATATCAAAACCAGAGTCATTGTAAGAAAAGACTATAGATCACTATTGCTCATGAACATGCATGCAAAAATCTAAGTGACATTTTTTATCAATTTACATCCAACAGTATCTAGAAAGAAAAATGTGCCATGAAAAAATTATTTTTTCCCAGAATGTAAGGTTACTTTAACAATCAATTAACACATAAAATTAATAAACAAAACAAATCTGAGTATCTCAATAGATAAAGAAAAAGCTTCTGACAAAATCTTATATACAGTTCTGTTAAAAAAAAACCTACCAAAATTAAAATTGTAAGTGTACTTCCTCAACCTGAAAATGACAGTCTATATAAAACCTACGCTTAAATCATCAAACTTACTTAAAACGAAACTGTGTTCCACCTAATCAAAAGAATAAGGCACAGATGTCTCACCATTTCTCTTTGACCTTGTAGTACAGGTTCTAGCCGGCGCATTCAGGCAAGGAAAACAAATAAAAAATATCCAGATTGCAAAGCAAAAATGGTAACTCTATATTTGTAAGAAACAGGATTAGCTAGGGAGAAAGTTCTATCAATGCTACAAAAATTGACTAGAACTAGTTTACCAGTTTTGTATATATTTGTACACACACACACACACACACACACACACACACACATACACACCAAAGATGTCTGAAAGATCTTAGATGGATGTATTCTATCCATCTGCTTCATTTTCAAGGGTGATAAAATTTCTGAATGCCTTATGTGATCGCTATCTTATATAAACCTGGAAACCAGAATCTTCCTTGATTAACTGCTTTGATTGACCAAGTCCTGGCCTTTAGTCGATGCCGTAGGTATTCCCCATGTACTTGTTACTGGGTGATGCGTGCATTCACTGCCCTTACGGAGACTGATAACTATTCAGTCCAGTTCTTTCTCTGGACCTTCCTTGAGTTAGATGAAGGAAGCAATGGCTGATATGAAAGTAGGCACAAACACTAGAATCATTTATTGGTACAATTTATGCTCTACGAGATGAGACCAAAGTTAGTCTCCAGTCAAAATCAGTTTCCTCAGGCTTTTCCTCTGGCCCTATCCCATTTTCTTTATTCCATCTCTGGAGAGCATGTTTTGTAAACAAAGAAACAAATAGCTTGAATAAGAGTTGCAGTTTCAGGCTCTGTCCCAAAGGAACTTAAATTATTCCATATTTCTTAGTATATTAGTCAAAATTTATGACACTTAAACTATACTCATTCCATAGTTAACCCATCTCATCTACACCTCTGTTTATTTTTATGCAAAATAATTTACCATTTTACTAACTTCATTATAGCTCCACTACAGATAGTTTTATCATTTCTCTATTCTTTTTTTTAAAAAATGCCATTGCTATTCCAATTTTACTAAACAACATTCTCTCTTCCCTCTTTAATAATCATATTACTTTATTTCTATTTTCAAGTTCTTTCAGTAGCCTTAATACTCTACCTTGACTGCTTTTGTTTTTTTCGTTGTTTGTATGCAGTTGCCAGAGGCACTCTTCGGAAAGAGATAAAGAGAGACAGAGAGAGAGAAAGAGTACTCCTCCATGGGTCACGGCCAGGTTGCAATCCCTCTTCCTCCATGTCTCCATCCTGCTGGGATTGAGCATGCAGGCATATTCACCCTGCATGTTTCTCAAGCTTCTAGAGCTGAGATTCAAGCCTTGGTTGGTTGTGTGGGGTCTGGCGCCCATAATCACTAGGCTATGGTGTGGTCTTGCTTCTCCTTAATAAAAATGCTTGGGACCAGGAGATGGCATAATGGTTATGTTGGTGGTCTCCCATGTAGTTAACTGCAGTTCAAGTCCCAAACTGGTGACTTAAAAATGACATCAGGCGCATGTGTGTACATGCCCAAAATCCCAAGAGGAAAATGGAGAAGGGATTGTGGCATGGTCATCCCCCCCCCCCAGGGGCTGATTTCTTGCTTTCTGTCTCTTTCACAAGAACACTATAGCAAAAACCTCTCAAAAAAAGAAAAAAAAAGCTAAGATTTTTAAGGAAGAAAAACACATTGCTTGCTTTTGATTTTTTGATTTTTCGGTCTACTCCTAGTACTAATATTCATCTTGAAATGTAACAAATTTAAAGTTTCTTAAACTAATTGAAAGAAATGTAAAAATACAAGGAAATAGCACTATTGTAATAACTACTACATTTATAATGTAGCAACTCAGTGGTGGTGGTGGGGAGTCTAGTTTTTCCTAATATAGTAAACTGATTTGCAACATTTTCTGAATAAACTGACTTGGCTCCTACTAACATTAATAGTTTTAAAAATTTATTTAGTGAAATTATGATGAAACTATACTTAATTTTTTTCCCTTTTATTTCTTAAACATTAACAACATTAGAATATGGAATGGTAGCAGATTTAAAACAGAAAAAAAAGCCCTTAATATATATTTTGATCATATAAATTTAGTTCATTTTAAAAATATTGGCTCATATGTGAAAGGCATCACTTTAAAGTATCTGAAGATTTTTAGCATGATGATTTTAGAGTTCTACAAATAACATTACCTGCATAACTGAGTTTTACCTTTATATAAAAAAAGACAAAAGAGCTAAACGCATTTGCTGAAATTATATATCTGTTAGAAAATAATATGCCTTCCAAACCATTACTTAATGTCCTACCTGAAGTCAGAACCTGCTCTTCTACCATTTTCTGGAATCCCAGGATCTGGACACATGTCAGAGACCAATGCAACGCCTCCTTGACTCACTATAATAGAAAGAAACGTTATTAAAATGCTGTGCAGCCATTGAAGAAATACCCAGAGAATAAGTTTAAACTAGGCATATTTAGTCCTTTAATGATGATTACTTAAAATGTGATTTCTTTAACAATTAAAACAGCTGAACTATTAAGCTATTTAAGTAAATCTGTATTCTCATTTCTTAAAGAAAAGACTTAATTCCCAGTGGAAAAATAAAGCATTTTTTCTTTACTATGAAGTTTCCCCTTTATTGACAAAGTCAAAATTTAATTAAAAACTCATTTGTTCATTATTACCACTTGCATGGCATCATAATTGTAGCATGATGGGGAAAACAGCATTATGAAAAAATGTGTCTATCAGAAGAAAGCATTCATCTCCCCATGGACAAAAATGGAGGTGATAATTATCTATTAAGATCTATACAAGAGATATCTTAAAAAACAGTACTTATATTTCAAATAATTAATGTGCTTATAATAGAACTAAAAAGTCATGGTCTCCTCGCGCAGGTGTGTTGATTTATTTCAAGTCAAATCATGAAGAACTTTTCCTCCTGTTGGGATCTATACCATTGTAGTATAGCAAAGGACTCATTTTTTAATAGAGTGACCAATACTCCATTATCTGTTGTGGAAAGTGACTGTCTGAGAAAATATGGTGTGTCCTTCAGGTCCCGACAATCCATTCTATCCTACACAATTTGTCTAATCCAGTCAAGGTCATTCCCAATTTTTTCCTATGGAAAGTTGCTCAACAAAGGGCTTATGACCCAATTCACTTAAAAGAGATACAAGAAGATGTCCATAGAAGTGCTTCTAGGAAATATTCCTGTGTACTAATAGAGGCCAGAACATTTTTACTCTAGATCTTTCATATCTAAATTTTGAATGTGGGGCTACTAGTGCCATTTTGCTATTGTCCAAGGATGAATAAAACCATAGATGAAATGGAAGGGATATTTCTAGTGCCTGCAGCTTCCCTATTATTGTCACAGAAAATCAACATATTTAGATTTCACTCAGCATCCTGTTGAACAATTCCTATATTTACTATAGTTTAAGCCTATTTCAAAGGGTAATTATAATACTAGAAGCTGAAAAGCATACACATAAAAACATGCAAAATTTTATATATCTTTTAAAGGACCCCATAAAAACATGACTGGGTAGGTAGTGAATTTCTGAAGTGTTTGACCAAAAATATGCACAAAACAACAATAATTATAATCTTTCACTTAATACATAAGTAATTAAGTAATTTAATTCATAGCAACTACTTTTCCATTCCAAGTTGGTTAACCCAATTTTTTTTTACAATTTTTTATTATTTCTTTACTTAATTTTTATAACATCTAAAATTAGTTTGCAAGATGGTACAATGAATGTATTCAAGTCTGGACTTTTTATTCCAAAATATTTAATTTTCCCAATATCATTTCAAAATAATCCAGGTTAGGCAGCAACATCAACAGAGGGCATGGTAAAAAAACCTCCAGACTCTTGTTCTCCCATGTAAACATCAAATAAGCAATTATAAATGGACTGAAGAAATTTTATAGGTGCACTGGAAACCTGTCAAAGATCTACAGCAACCAAGCAAATGCCCAATGAAGAAAAAGCCACTTTTATAATGAAAAAAACATGGTGATTTTACTCTCTGTAGCCTCATACCCTTCCTATTGTATGCACAATGCATTTGAGAGGAAGTGGTCCTAGGATTAGAAAAACAGACAGAAATTGGTTGGCAACATTCCAGCATCTCTGTGGACAGCCTGAGGAACTAGAGCTCAGATAGATCTTAATGGCATAGTTTGGATCTCAGGCTTGAAGCACGGAAGGAAGGTAGTGGTAAGTGTGGCTATAGATGAAAACTGCTGATCTGTAGACTGATGGTTCCTGGGCGTAAAGAATTATGGGCAGAGGAATACAACAGGTCATGTCAATCCTCAATAAAAAGCTTGAGTGAGCCTCTTTGGAATAGTAAGATAGTTAAAGGTAGCTTGGAGGGAAACACACACACACCCAGAAAGGATGCACATCTAGGAAAGACCTAAGAAGACCTTAAATCTGCACTCTAGACTGACCTCAAGAATCAGAGGCACATGGGGCCAGCAGTTAGCATAATGGCTATGTCGCTGGACTCCCACGTAGACGACCGCGGTTCAAGTCCCGGACCCGGTGGCTTAAACTCACGCCAGGTGCGTGTGCATGCGTGCCCAAGATCACAAGAGGAGAATAGAGGAGAAGGGATTGCGGTGTGGCCATCCCCCCTGGGGGGTGATTTCTCGCTTTCTGTCTCTCTGTGTCTCTCTGTCTGTCTGGTGAGCACACACGCCCTGTAGCAAAAACCTCTTAAAAAAAAAAAAAAAAAAAAGAATCAGAAGCACATTACTTAGTAAAGGTCCTTCATTGTAAAGACCAGAAGAGTGGATTTTGTTTCTCTTCAAATATTCAAACTCTTGAATAAAGATCACAAGGAATACAAAACAAAAACAAAAACACAAAACAGGGAACTTTGACACATTGAAAGAAACCAACTAAATCTCCAGGAACAGGAACACATGCCTCAGACTTATTAGACATATGACTTTATAAAATTTACCATAAATATTAATTTTAATAAATAATGACTGAAGGTTTCCTAAATTGAGGGATAATGTTGTTATAAGAACTTAAGAAACTTGGTAAATTCAAAATAACTAGGATAAATCTAAAGATATCCACAGAAAGACAAATTATAATCAAACTACTTATAGTCAAAGAGAGAGAACTTAGAAAACACAAAAATACTCATCAAAAACAGATATTCTTACTAAAACCATCAGATTTCTCAACAGAAATCTTGCAGGTTAGAGGACAGTGAAATAATATATTTAAATGCTGAAAAAAAAAAACCTGCCAACTTAGAATTCTATAACCAGCAGAACTGTTTCTCAGAAATGAGGGAGAAAGTAAGATATTTCTAGAATAAATGAATAAATAAAATTTTAGAGCATTTATTACCAGTAGACCTACCCTACAAAAAAGTTAAAGAGAGTTCTTCAAGTTAAAACTTCTTCTAGTTTTAACAAAGTTAAAATGGGAGAGTAAATTGAAGCCACATAAAAACAAGGTGTTCCACAACAAAGGTAAATATATCCATTTTGACTTACAAACCCACTTTTAATTTTCTATAGTATGTAAAATATAAATTAATAAAATAATTATGAATCTATGCTAATAGGTATATAATATATAAAGGTAGTAAATTGATATCAATTTAATATTGTCATAATTTTAGTTTGATATATGTAGTCCATGGTAATCCCAAAGAAAATACTTATAGAATATTTATGAAATGAAATGAAAAAGGACTCACTATGTGTCACTATGAAAGTATTAACTGAAACAAAGAGGAGGCAGTAATGAGAGAGAAATGGACCAAAAAACCCTGTAAGACATACAGAAAACAAAACAAAATTGCAATGGTAAATACTCCCGTATAAGTAATTACATTAAATATAAATGTGTTAAACTTCTTGCTGCAGGTTGAATTTATATCACTCTCCCCACAAAATATCTATGTCTATATAATAACCCCTAGTGCTCAGAATGGGACTATTTTTGGAGACAGGGTTTTAGAATGGATAATTAAGTTTAAACGAAGTTTCAATTTCATTTTAAATTAATTTAATTTTAAATTGGATTAGTATGCTCCTAATCCAATATACTGGTGACCTTCTAAAAAGAGATAACGGGACTAGTGGGTGGCATAATCATTATATCACTGGACTCCCACATGGTTGACCGTAGTTTGAGTCCTGGACCCAGTGTCTTAAAACTCACACCAGGCACATGTTTGTGCATGTCTAAAATCCTGAGAGGAAATTGGAGGAGAAGGGATTGTGGTGTGGACATCCCCCTTGGGGAGTGATTCCTCGTTATCTGTCTTTCTCTGTCTCTGGTGAGAACATGTACCCTATGTCAAGGATTTCTCTCTAAAATAAAAGAAAAAGATTAGGACATGAACACACAGTGGAAAGATTATATGAAGACACAAGAAGACAACCATCAACAAGTTAAGGAGAGAAGTCCTAGAATAAACCTAGAGTACAATACCTTGATCTCAAATTTCTAGTCTCTGGGACCAGCAGTTAGCGTAATGGCTATGTCACTGGACTCCCATGTAGTCAACCATGGTTTGCGTCCCGGACGTGGTGGCTTAAAACTCACACCGGGCGCATGTGCATGTATGCCCAAGATCCTGAGAGGAGAATGGAGGAGAAGGGATTGTGGCATGGTCATCCCCCTGGGGGGGGTGATTTCTCGCTTTCTGTCTCTCTGTCTCTCTCTGTCTGTCTGGCGAGCATACACGCCCTATAGACAAAACCTCTTCAAAAAAAATTCTAGTCTCCAGAATTGTGAGCAGGTACATGTCTGTTGTCAAAACAATCCAATACATGATCCTCTATTATGGAAGTAAACCAATACGCTTCCTACCCAAAAGCATAGATTGTCAGAATGAATTGATAAATAAGTAAGCAATAGGATAACATGATATGCTGTCCATAAGAGACCAATTTTAAATCTAAGGACTTGAAGAGGTGGAAAACAAAAGGAGTTAAATTTATAAAACAAGCAAGTAGAATAGTCATTGCCAGAGTTTAGGGGGGAGATGAAAAGTGCAGTTTCTTTTTAAAATGTGCAGTGTCTTAGTTGGGTATAATGAAAAATTTCTGGATATGAATGGTTTATAGATACATATTTAGTGTTAAAAAGAGTATATTTTAAAATGGTTAAAGGTAGTAAGTTAATGTTCTATAAATCTCTTTATATATATAGAGAGAGATACAGATATGAAGATCTTCATCATTTTGATAACTTTAGTACATTTTTCTCCAGCCATTGATTTTGTGCCATCAATTTTGTGGTCTGTATCATGTGTTAGGGTGAAATCTTCAATCAGTAGTGGCCTCATACTAACACTCTAAAATTTATCTCTTTAATAATTTAGTATTAATCATTTTAAACTCAAGTGTAGAATGTTTATCTATTATGATCAGGTAAATGTCTTCTATATTCCCTCAAGCAGAAAAGTTATTGTGACAAATGAAGAAAGTCTTGTTAATGTGAATGGCCAAAATTATTTTTACCAGAAATACTATACTCTCATGTGATTCTTATTTCACTATTAAACAGTACCTAAAGTGGTTTAAAACACAACACCAAGGCTTGAAAAAGTATACTTATATTTCCTCTTTTCTATTTTCTCTTGTGAAGTAGTAATAGAAACACATGAGAGAACTTGAAGGTTTTCATGCAAGTCAGATGAAAACATTCTGGATCTTTTAAAAAACAGTGCCACATTCACTGAGCTCCAAAGTTAACAGTTCTTAGAGTTCTATAAAAGCACAGGGTGAATTAGACAAGTCTAAATATATTGTAAATTTTAGAGGACACTGAAAAAAATGATAGGAGATTATATGCAAGATATGGGTGATTTGCTGACACAGAAATAGGCACTTATGTTATAAGGTGAAAAAGCATGGTGACAAATAGGATATGTGCAATCAAACAATAAGCTTCATAAATAGCAACTACGTGTAACATCTGCATCACAGGTAGTTAATTCTTCCAAAAGCTGAAGCTTAAAAGTTGGAAACAGTCATGGAGATCAGTTTACTTCAGGCATGATCTCGGTTTCTTAGAGAAATAGTTTCTAAAGAGAGGAATTACTGGGCTTAATAACATCTTATCTCTAATTTTGTTGAATTATATATTTTCAAATCTCATGACACATGCCATACACATTAATGGATGTATTACATTTAGTCAAAACCTTGGAGTTAAAAATCAAAACTGAAAATATTCAATAGATGGATTCATTATGCATTATTAACTAAATACTAAAGCAAAATGTAAAATTATGCAAGTTGATGATCAGATATAAATAAGACAGTTTGTAAAAGATTGAATTTGATTTAAAATGTGTAAATTATAGTAATGAATATATTTAAATGACTTTTTCAAAGCATATTGATGCACAAAATCTCACTAGATTTATGTAAGGCCTAATGGAGTACATAGGGCAGAAAAGAATATGCTTCTTAATCAAATTACTCTGACCTTTGAGGACACGTCTTGAGAAAGTCAATCAAAACTTAATACTAATTCATGTGGAGCAAACCAGGCAGCTAAACCAAATGTTACAGTGAAGAAAGAAAGTAAGATACAAAAGAAGTATAAGTGGCCCTCCTACAGGGGTGCATTGGTAGCATGATACTCCATGATATTGGAACCATATGGATGACTAGAGTTTGCTTTCTAGGTTGGCTTACACATGCTGGGAAAACATGCACGTGCCCATGACCCTGCCTGAATGGGCAGACTGGAGGGAGGTTCATAGTATGAGATCCTATTGTGGGTGTCTGTTTCTCTCTCTCTCTCTCTCTCTCTCTCTCTATTTATATATATATAAAATGAAATAAACTTTATAACTTTATTTAAAAACAAAGAAGTATAAGCAACTACTTTTATAATAAAGGAGTTTAAGAACAAATAAATTAGTATGGATAAAATTTATACTTATGAAATCTTCAGAAATGAAGGGCTAAGAATAGTAATAAGATTATGATAAAAAATAAACATGTATTTTTGCTAAAAACTCCAAGTGTCATTTACATTTTTTAAAAAGATTGTTTTTTTGCTCTAAGGTGCTGGCACTTATCAGAGAAACAGAGAGAAATTGACAGAGAGAAAATGAGAAATCATCCACCTACAAGGGGATGGCCATGCTGAAATCCCTTCTTCTCCTTTCACTTCTCAGGATTTTGAGCACATAAACATCTGCCCAGCATGATTTTTAAGCCACCATGTTCAGGACTTGAACCGAGGTTGACCATGTGAGAGTCCAGTACCTTAACTACTATGCCATCTGCTGACCCTACATATGTTTTTAAATTTAGTCAATATGGTCATTCTGTGAGGTATTAATATTAAGCACATTTTGGGACCAGCAGATAAATTTGGTATAATGTCATAATGGTTACTTTGCTAGACAACCATGTAGTTGACTACAGTTTGACCATCCCAGATCCAGTGGCTTAAAACTCTCTCCAGGTGCATGTGCACTCAAAATCCTGAAAGAAGAATGAAGGAGAAGGGATTGTGGCATGGCCATCTACCCTGGGGGATGATTTCTTGTTTTCTGTCTCTTTGCCTCTCTGGTGAGTGCACACACCCTAAAGCAAAAATCTCTCTTTAAAAAAACAGCCCATTTTACAGAAAACAAAACTGAGGTCAAAGTTGTAATTCAGTTGACTCCAAAATCAAGCTTCCTTTTCCCTATAGTTTTGCTGCTATTTAACCTTTATTTATGAGGTATTATGTGTTAGAGGATTTGCAAACTAGAGATTTATGATTAATTAAAATTACTTTGTTTTAATAATCACATTTATCTTATAAACTTTAATAAGAAAAATAAAAAAAAACACTGAGCATCAAAATGGTAAGTTAAAAGGTGTTTTCATTTATATTCCCTACCAAACACACACATGGGAAGCCATATGGTTTGAACCATGAGACTGTAGTTCAAACCATCTGGTGGCAATTTTCCTTTAGTTAAAAAATTAAAAGAAAAAGATTCAGTCTTTCCATATGAAGACATAATTTACCTTTAGAGAATCAGAGCTATGAATTGACTTGAATGTTAAATTTCCACAGAAGGTGTCATTTAATTGTTAAATTTTGGTTTCTCTTTGAAACGAATAACCCCAGACTTATTTCAATGAATTCATACTTATCAGTGTGATGGTTCTTGTGATTTATTACTGCATATTTTTCTTGTTGATATTTATTTCTTGAGAGATATATATACACATGTTTCACTTGAGCCAATTTTGAGACAAACTCTAATCAGTTTAGGCCTTCAGAGAGGTGACATATGTTTTTAGTTGCATAATAATCAGGAGAGTTGTTACACAGAATATATTCTGGTTGAAATTCCCTAGTAGCAATATCCCCACTCTATTGATGACCTTTAGATGAGTGACAACCCATTCTTGGATCTGTGTTTGGGGAATACTGTAGACTACAAACTTCTCTGCTGTGTTCAGTTTGAAATAAGTCAACTTTGACATTTTTTTTCCCTTCAACATTTAATCGACTCAATTATTTCCTCCATGAAATGAAAAGCAATTATTTACTTTTTAAAGCATTTTCCCTTTTGGATTTGCAAGAGGTTTTCATTTTGGCAACGATGACTCTTACCCCTGTTACTCTTTTCTTAAAAACCAATCATTTGGAGTCAGACAATGGTGCAGCAGTGAAATACTTTGTGTGGTTGATGCTATTGGAACGTTCCAGATTCAGATATGAAGACCTCCCTGAGTTCACTCGACACCTGCATTCCCCTGATGTTGGGCTGGCTAGGGTTGAGTTATATTGCAGTGTCAAGATTACAGGTGCTGTCTCCCTCTCTGTCTCTCTCATTCATGAAATAAAGAAAGAATGATTTAAAACAAACAAACAAACAAACAAATAACCTAAGTATAGATGATGAGATCAATGAGGGCACTGCTCATATTTTCCATATGAAATAAATTACATGGAGCAGCATGACATGGAGCATTTCTACATATGTAACAAAAATTTGGGTACTTTCTCTGTGATTTCAGAATATTTGCCCTGTATCTAGCAGTAATTGTTTTTAATCTCACAATAATGAAAGCAACACCACAAACCCAATTTATATGCTTCATGGACTAGATAAAGTAAGAACTGTTGATATTTGGATTACATAGTAATTAAAATAAATAGAGCCAGAAAGTATATCCAATCACAGCAAAGACACAGAGAGAAAAGGAAAGCAAGAAAGCAATCCTCTTATGGAGGATGGTCATTCCATAATCCCATTGTCTCCATTTCTCTCCAACTCTAGGATTTGGGGCCTGTATGCACATTGCCTAGCATGTTCTTCAGGCCACCAGGTCTGAGATTTGAACCACTTGATCAACTATGTGGGCTCTAGCTGCCCTAACTGTTACACTATGGGGTGGCCCCGGTTGATAAATTCTTAGTAAGGCAACATTAGAGTTTTCAAAGGATAGTTTATACACAAATAAGTTGTCAAAACATATTGCTTTTATATGTAATGGTTTGCTTTCATATTAATATCCCACAAACTGAATTTGTGGAACTTGCAGTCCTGTGGGAGCTAAGGGCTAGATTTCTCAAGTATCTATTTTATTACAATGCCAGACATTTCTGTCAATCCTGCTCTATTTTTGCTAGTTACTTTAATTTCTGACTTATAGAACGCTAGTAGTCAAATGTCTACTATCATAATTTATAGATCCAAATATCAATGTTACTCATGGTTTCCTATCTCTAATTCTACTGTCATGGTCTGGAGTCCACCCTCTGAGTTGATGGCTATTTATTTTTTAAATATGTATTTTTAACTTCTAGTGGTATTTCCTCAAATATATTACTAAATAATTTAGAAAAACAATAATGGTCTTAATTGCACGACAAATAAAGTCTCTTTAGCTGGTATTCACAACCTTCTTCAGTATTTCAAGTATTATTCTAACTACTTCTGCCTGCAGGGATCCTATGATTCAGGTAATTTTGAATACATGAAATTCTCTATGAATCTTTGTTTTTCATTTTATTTTCTTTAATTTTGCCTGCCCTAGACTGTTTGTCTACCAAAGAGAAAAACAAATACATTTTTTAAAATAAGGGCTCTAATGTTAATACAGTTGTCCCTTAATATCCATGGTGTATAGGTTCCAGATCTCCGAGATCTGTACGTACTCATGTCCCTTATACAAAATAGCATAGTATTTGCATGTAACCTATATACATCCTCCCTCACACTTTAAATTATCTATAGATCATATATAAGATCTAATGCAATATAAACACTATGTATATAGCTTGAATTATTTTTAAAACTTGTTATTTTTATAAGAA